CTGCTTTTTCTATTTAGAAAATTGAACCATCTATTTTGAAACTTGTTCAGTAATGGAAAATTGGAATCTTCAGAAATGTTTTGTTGGGCAAAGCAGTAGTAATTGCTTTTTCACAATCATATTAAAGAAGTTTTATTCAAGAACACATGCAAGGTTGAAGACTGTTTACTTCCTGAACCAGGTAGTCAACAACCTAGGCACATGAAATTTTGCTATAATGTTACATTGTGTAAACTAAATTAGGAGCTCACCAGTCTGCTAGTGAGACGTTGATTTGGAGTCACAAGACCTGAATTCAGATCACAGATGTGCCATTTAGTGTTGGACATAATTCACTTCACTCTGAGACTCAGTTTTCATATTTGTGAAATGAGAGTTGAACTAAATCTTCTCTACAGTTTCTTCCAATTTTGAATTACTCTAATCTCAAGTTTGTGGCAGTCTTTTTTTTTTTCTTAAACAGATTGTAGCCTCTCAGTTTAATAGCATCTTAGAGATGAAGAATCTCAGAGAACATGGAGTCCAGTTTCTTCATTTTATAGATGAGAAACCTGAGGGCTAGAATGATGAAGTGACTTCCCAAAATCACATGAGAGGTAGAAGCATCAGGATTCTAATCCAGGTCTTCTGACTCTTAAATTTAGTGTTAAACCCTTAAATGGGTTGGTCCTATAGAGACCTTATAATATTGTCTGTGAAGTAATAGAGTAAGCAGTTTTTTTTTCCTCATAAAATGAGATACTTGGACCAGTTCAATGTTTCTCAACCCAAATTATACTTTGAACTAGTAGAATACTGAAATTCTCTCCTGTGGATGGCTTTCCCTTCCCCCTTAAGCCTCAGTGTGATGGCCTTCATGGATCATTAGAAGTTAGAGAAAAAGAATCAGGTTTTTTTTTTTTAAATTTATAAAGCTTAGTTTTAAAAAGTAAGGACCTATTAGGTAGCCGGGGTGTAATTTCAGTACAGTTCAACAATCATTTATTAAATAAGTACAGTGTAGGTAGGCATTGGGAGTATAAGGAAAAAAATTAAACGATAGGCATGAATTAAGTGTCAGGTACTGTGCTTAAGGTGATGGGAGGCAGTGCAAAATAGTTGAAAGAGTACTGGCTTTGGACTCAAAACACTTAGGTTTAAGTCCTGGTTTAGCAGCTGTGAAACCTTGGGCAAGTCACATTTCCCTTCTGGGCTTTATTTCTTCATCTATAAAGCAGTTATCCATATAATACTTCTTTCCCCAGGCTGTTATGAGAATCAAATGAATAGGTTTACATAAAGCACTTCGTAAACTGAAATGCTAGGTAGCTGCTGTTACCGTTAAAAGTTTTGTGGATTGGTAAAAAATTTTCCACAGACTGACGTTTGGGGAACACTGGACCAGATGATCACTTAAGGTCTCTTTCAATCCTAAAATTTTGTAAGTATGAGGTAGTTATCTGATACAGAAGGTATAAAGTATTTTGGAAGCCAGTAGCAAGGGAAAATAAGTAGGGAGAATTAGTAAATAGCCTGTTTTGTTTGCTGGAATTTGACTATATAATGTTTGATTAAAACGAGCTTTTAAACAAACATTTACATGTTATCCCTTTATTTAATTAAAAAATGAAACCAACTATGAAACCATAACCTCCCAAATATACTGAAAAATCTTGAGTAGATCATTTCCTGACCAGCAGAGCATGAAGAAACATGGCCATTCTGATAATGGTGTAAAAAGGAATATAGTCTTCTCTTCACTGCCTGTTCCTTTCTTCCTTTTTTTCTCTTTTTCTTTTCTTTCTCTCTCTGTCTCTCTCTCTTTTTTTTTTTTTTGTAGATTCTCACACAAAATGTTGACTGTCTGCAACAAAATCCTGTAAACATTTTCTAAGATGTTGAATGCTTATACGTTGGGGATTGAATGTGATATCTATGTGAAAGATATTTCTTCTATTTTTGGGGGGGGGGGGGGGGGATCCTGGTGCCAGAACTCCTTCCAGCAACAATAAAATGTTGTTAAAATTGGATGTTGACTGCCCAAAGCAGCGTGGTAACTTCCATTTGCTTTCTAACATCATACAGCTATGAAGTAGGAGATCCAAGAATCAAATCTGAGTCACAGTGTAGGCTCATAAGATCTGTATTTGAGTCCTGGCTCCTCCATTTCTTAGTTAACTTGTCTGTGGGCAAAACACACTACCTCTGTAGGCCTCAGATGATTCATAAAATAGAATGAATAATTCTCCCACCAACTACCTTTCCAGGAGTGTTTGGAAGAGGCTATTCTGTTAACCACAGCATGCATATAAAAGTTTAAGATTCAGTTATCCTTTGGTTACTGAGTGAAGCCCCCCTTCCTCTTTGACTATAATACTAACTCCCTAACATCCCCAACCCCCCCCCCAAAAAAAAACCCTCTCCATTTGGTAAGATAATGGGTGCAAACTTAGCTTGTTTAAAATACTATTTTAACATAAGTTTATGATAATCATTATTATTGTAAAACTGTTTAGCTGGAATTAGGGGTAAGGAGTCGATGAGATGATTTTTGAGGTCCCTTCTATTCCTGACATTCTAGGCCTCTAAAGTACTCTATGATTTATTTTTGAATAAACCTTCAGAATGTTCAGGTTCAGTCCCCTTTGATGGTTTAAACTATTTTGCAGTCAGTCAACTTTTGCCGTTTCTAACTTTTCAGAAAATTCTAATTACTCATTTATAGTAGTTGTTTTATCTGCTGTATGAGCTTTTTTTGCAGGTGCTTGCATGTATTGCCCACAGTTGTACTTTGGCTAATGCAGTAAAGCCAGTACAAGTGCTCCCTAATAAATGGTGATATTAAGGGATGTTGGTCTTGAATCCCAAGAGCCAAATGTTAACCAATAAAGTTTTGCAGACAGTGGAATTTCCTATCCTAGGAAACCCACCAAGAAAGTGTCAACTCTCTTTGACACTTCCTCTTTTATGGATAAAGGGGTTGGAAGTCAGCCCTGCCTGGTATTGTGGGTTACATTGCAATAGATGATGGGAACACATGCAAATATCTGCTTTTGGGCTCACCAGGTCAGAAAATAAGCATGTAGCACTTCATCCTTTGGTGAACATAACTAGCTGATTGTACCACAAAATGACAAAACCACTGAGAGGTTTGTTCTCTGTAGCACTTTACAACTTAGCTTTTAGTTTACGATTTTTTAAAAATCTGTCAAGATACACATTGAATTTGCAGTCATAGTTTCCCCAAAACACCGTAGGAAGTGGAAACATCAGTGTTAAAATACACTACTCAAACCACGGGTTTGTAACTTTTTTGGGGGTGGTGATCTAGTGAAGCCTATAGACCTCTTAGAATAATATTTTATATGCATAAAATAAAATTAATAGGATCACAAAGGAAGCTACTTATGTTGAAATATAATTACCAAAATATTAAAAAACAAATAAACCTAGATTCATGGACCCTAAGTTAAGAATGCCTCCTGAGATCCTTCTGTCTCTCCATCCCCCTTCTCCTTTCCTCTCTTAATCCTTCCTTCTCTTTTTTGCTCTCTATTTTCTCCCCCTCTCTACCTCCTTTTTCCTTTTCCTTTTCCTTTTCCTTTTTTTCTTCCCATTCTTCTTTATTTCTATCTTAGTGGAAAAAGTCTGAACACATCAGTAAGCTGCACAAAAAATGTAGCTCCCAAAAGATGAAAATAAGTAATGATTATTCTGATTTAGGTCAGATAATGAGTTGGGAATTGACCTTATGGGGTTTATTTTGTGTTTCCAGAGTCCTCAGATTAAAAAAAAAATCACAATAAATTTGGCATATGTCTGGGAAATTTGTTTATTTACCATTTGACTAGCATATACTAAGTTCTTACTATGTACAAGATCCCATACTAGACTCTGGGAGAGATAAATAGATGAATATGACTTTAATCTTGTCCATAAGTGGCCTATACTTTAGTAGTATGGAGAAAGTATACTTCAGTATTACTTATCTTAGCTTTAACTTCACATTCTGTGTCAGCTGTATATTTCCTTCTTTTCTCCCCTTACCAGATTATAGCTATTAGAGATGGTGTGTTATAGTAGAAATAGCACTGGATCTGTTGCTGAAAGGCCCTACTTTGAATCTTATCTGACATTTATTAGTTGCACAATCCTGGTTAAAGTTAACATCCTTATGCCTTATTGTAAAAATATATTGTATAATATTGTAAAATAGCAGTAATAGTTGCATCAGTCACTTCATAAAATTATAGTAAGGGAAGTGCTAAAATTCTCTATTTGACATGTTAATATCGTTAATAATTATTTACGTTTTAGACATTTCAGTTCCCATATGGATTTAGCCTCCAAATTTTAAGCAAGATAAATATTTGTTAATCTTAAATGGAAATTAAAAATTAAATGGACAGAAAATTTGAAACCTTTAAAACCACCATGATTTAAAATAATTTTTGTTTGGAGAAGCAGAGGCACACATCCCTTAGATGATTTCAGGGATTAATCTTGGGTTCAGTGGGCCACAGTTTTGGTTAATAAGTAATTTCACATAGCTATGGAGAATTTAGCCAATCTTTTTTAAAGTAAACTTTGATTAAATATGAGCCAACCAGGGGCCAAAACCCCTTTTAGAAAGAAAAATTACTATTGCTCAGTAGTTCCTACCTAAATGTTGTCTCTGAATAAAAAGGAAAAAGTGCTACATCCCTATTTTATGCCCTGCAACAATGTGTTATTGTTATACATTTTTAATAAGATCCCAGACTGTATGTAGCAATGGTCATTGATCTGTATACTGAGTGAATGCCTTTCTGCTATATCTTATACATGTGCACATTACTACTTTTTAATGGCTGTTGAATTAAATAACTCTGTGCACGTCTTAAAACACCATTAAACCTTCTGGGAGTCTTATTAGCTCACTGAGATGCTGCTGCGATCTTTTGTTTTGTTTTTCTTTTTGGTAATGTGACAGAAACCCCTTGGTCAAATTGTATCTGTCTCTTTTTATCCCATTTTACCAGTAGAAAATGTTTCGATGAAAGACCCTCCGGACTTATTGGACAGGCAGAAATGCCTGAACGCCTTGGCGTCTCTCCGACATGCCAAATGGTTTCAGGTTGGCTATTTGTTCTTACCTCATTGTTATTGTAGCCTTATGAGGGTTAGATTGTCAATACTGACTGAAACAGCTTAAGTTGGTAACATAGTTTAGCAGAAATATACACCAGCCTGAGACTCAGAAGGATTTGGTTCCAAAGACCTTGGGCAAGTCACTTATTTCTGGAGTCTTAATTTTTCCTTCTGTAAACTGAGAGTGTGAGGTAGGTGTCTTTTAAGGCCCCCATAGAACTTGAACTTTTTTACAGTCTTTGATTGCATACTTCTCAAACGGTCTGTGTTCTGCAGTTCCTTCCCATTTGAACGCTCTTGTTCCAAAGCCTCTTCTAGATGTAATATTCTGTGAATCAGTACTTGTTTGATGTCTGGTTCTTTGAAATTCAAGTGATGGGGGAAAAAAAAAGAACCAAAACAAAACAGTTTGGGCAATGTGAAAAAGTTGTAGATGGATAGATAATTAATGGGTATTTGGTTATCATGAGGCTACAAAAGCAATTTTAACATTAAGCTTCCTTCTTTTACTTTTGAGCCTGCCTTTCTAAACACAGATCTTGCTTTTTTTTTGTTTGTTTGCATGAATCTGATTTATTAACTGGCTAATTAGTAATCATTTATAAAGGACCTATCCAAGGCCAATGTGCATAAAATGAAGAATGGATTTCAGTAGGTGTATTGGAACCCTTTTGTTTGTTTTAGGCAAGGGCAAATGGACTAAAATCATGTGTAATTGTCCTCCGCATTCTGCGTGATTTGTGCAACAGAGTACCCACATGGGCTCCATTAAAAGGATGGGTAAGTACGTAAAAAATGACTAATGGGTAAACTGACAAATGCCTAGGCTACTGTTTTGGGGAAGCCTTCAGAAATTCTATGTTCCTGCTGAATTTTAATACTCCTGATTTTGTCTTAGGAAATAGTTGAGAAATGCATTATTAGGTGCTCCCTTTTCATATATGAGCCCATTTGAAGTCTTGTTATTTGCACCTGGCACTTTTCATCTTGTCCATATGCATGTTATGGCTTTATCTCCTAGTATTAGTGCTGTGTACATCCCTGGTTTTTTTCTCACCATTCACTCAGAAATGATTTATTAAGTGCCTGCTATGTGTAGTGCTCTGTGCTAGACAGCAAGAGAGATACAAAGATAATTAAAACAAGATTCTAACTCTTGTTATTTAATATAGGTGTAACCTTGTTCAAATAATTTCCCTTCTTTGAACCTCAAGTTTCTTCATCTGTAAAATTAAGAGTATTGGACCTGGTGATCTTTAGGTTCCTTTCCAAATCTAATCTTACAATCATGGACTCTGTAATCTTAACAAGTGTAGTCAACCAATACATGATTGCATTCTGTTGATCTGAATATAGGGTTTACCTCTAAAATTAAATCCCTTTGAAAGGAAGAACTTTTATATATATTCATAGGTAATATACCAAAAAGACAATTGTACAATATTGCCATATTAAATAACACTGAAAGTTGTTTGTTGTTTTTTTAAGCTATAAGAACATGTGTTCTTATTTCTCATCAGTATTCATTGCTTTGAGATTATAAGCTCCACTTAAATTTTATACCCTAAATTGGGGAATATTCAACCTATATTCTGAGTAACACAGTACTTTTTAATGCAAAATAGATCCATCCTGTCATTATCTTTGAAAGACTATTTTGCTGTCATCGTTTGTTGAGTGTCTTGGGCAAATATTTCCAAAAGCGATGTGAAAAAAATCTCCTACCATTATAATAGAATGCCCATATAAATGCCATTAAGCCTTGGCCTTTTAAAATTATTTTTATTCTTTGTAGTTGAGAATGGTTGACTCTTATTTCTTAAAAAGAATGTAGTCTTTTTTTCTATTGAATTTTGAAACTATAATAGGTACCCTTGAATTTATAGTAGTGAATAAGTGTGTGTATGTATGTGTATATGTATATGTATATATATATGTATATGTACACACATATACATTCATATGTAGTGAATTTATATCTCGTACATAATGTTTATTGCAAACGTTATTTGATGTGGGAATTCCCGTGGTGGACTTCTCCTTTATTATAGATTCATTGGAATAAAAGGTCATCTCTAGCAACAGCATCAACATAATACTAAGCAAATATTGAAAAGAGAACCCACAAATTAATCAAGAAAATGTCATTTTTTATGACCTGATTAAGTTGTCCACAATCATTTTGAGTATCTAATAATATAGTGAGTGGGTACATGATAGTGCCCTTTTATCTGTTTTAAGTGCTTGGCATAGGCCACTCTGGATAATTTTCTCTTGTGTTGTTTGTGATGCTGTTTGCTGTTTGAATGCTTTGTCCAGGTAGCTATGTGACCTTTGGCAAGTCATTTTACCTTTCCTGACTTCAGGTTCCTCATGTGTAAAATGAGGGTAATGAACTAGATGGTCTCTTAAGGTCCTGTCTAGTATAATATTCTGTGTTACATGGTTGTGCATTCTGATTTTCTAAGGTCTTGTCCAATGTTAACATTCTAGATTCTAACGTTCTATGACTAAGGCACTTTCTAGTTTTAACAGTCTTTGTTTTAACATCCTATGTTAAAAATTGTCCTTGCCCTTTGTGGTTCTATGAGTTTGTGAATGTTAGAACACAGCACATAGAATGTTAGAACTAGAAGTGACCTTATAGATCATCTAGTCTAATCCCCTTATTTTATAGATGAGGAAACTGAAACCCAGAGAGGAGAAGTGACATGTCCAAATCCTCATAGTGAATTATTAGCTCACGTTTTAACTTGGATTCCTTTTAACACTTGATGCATGTACTAATTTGTAATTTAATATCTTTTAGCCACTAGAGCTTATATGTGAAAAGTCTATAGGTACCTGTAATAGACCTTTGGGCGCTGGGGAGGCTTTGAGACGAGTAATGGAGTGTTTGGCATCTGGAATACTTCTTCCTGGTAAGGGTTTCAAACTCTGGGAGCAAAAACAAGTAAAATCTCATCTGTCTATTTTTAAAATGTCTGCTTAATGTGTGCTCTGCACAGTACAGTAGTGTGGGGGAGGTGTTCCATTTGGAATTCTTAGTTAGAATAGTGAGGAAATTTGAAAAGCTACATTGGAAAAGCCCATCTTTAGTCACTATAATCTGAGTTTTCTGTTTACTAACACAAAAGTACTAATAATGCAGGATGCCAATTGTGGTAATGCTTTACTTACATCTCTGTGATTGGAAAATAAAACCTTTTTTGTTTGTTTCATGGAGGTTGTTTAAAAAGAAATCATGAAATATGTGTGTTTGGGCAGGTAAATCATGCTCTTACTGTTGTATTATGGTTCCTTTAAGGATTTGGGGTTTGTACGGGAAGTGTAAATCATGTTCTCTTTATATATATGATTCCTTTATAGATGTTTGGGATGGGGGGTGTTAAATAAATTTTTTGTCATGTTTTTCTTTTAGAAAGTTGAAGTGATTGATCTTAGTCTTTTTGCCATAAACTTTCTCTGAAATCTTAGGCAAATAATTTTTCCTGTGGGCCTCATTTTCCTCCCCAGTAACATGAGGGGATTTGACCGGCTCTAAGGTCCTTGTCAGTTTTGAATCTTATAAACATGTACTTTTCAAAATAAGATGTAATTTTGGCCTTTTCTAAACTAATTGCATCTATTAAAGCTCATGGTACTAACAGGCAGAGAAGTTAAATGTGAAAACATGCAGTCCTGCCCCTGACTCTTTAAGAGCTGACTTGAATCTAATTCCTACAAACTTGAGCCGTATTCTAAATTGTACCTGGGATTTTTCTTTCTTTTCTTATAGGGGGGCCAGGTCTTCATGATCCCTGTGAGAGGGATCCGACTGATGCATTGAGTTATATGACAATTCAACAAAAAGAAGACATTACACACAGTGCCCAGGTAAAACACATTAATCTCTAGGACCTGGATCTAGCTGACACTTTGTAACTAAAAGTAGGATAAATCTTTTGGGAATGGCTCTTTTGGAAGGATTTGAGTAGATGGAGAGTTCTAAAAAATTTCTGCCCACTTACAGGAAGGGGGAAGTATTGGTGTACAACAGCAGTTTATGTGATAAAAGACTTTTGAGGTTTCAGTGAATCACAACATCAATAGAAGTAAATTAATGTGACATGGCAACCAAAAAGCTAATGTGCTCTAATAAGCTGTATAATGAATAATGTCCAGAGTGCTTTACTGTTCAGGGTCAGGTAGGTGTAATGTTACTATTTATCTCTGCAGTAATCAAACAGCATTTGGAATATTGTCTTCAGTTCTGGAAGCCAAACTATAGCAGAAACAATCTAGAGAACATCTAGAAAGACAAGGTCTCCAGGTTGGTGGGATTGGAAAATATGTTGTACAGAGAACCTTACTAAGGAAATGGAGAGGTGACAGCTTGTGAAGACATTGGTCTTCAGCTGTTGGTAAGGCTGTCATGTGGAAGTGGAATTAAACTTTTTCTACTTGGCCTCAGAAGGCAGAACTGGGAGCAGTGAATGAATGAATGTTGCAGTAAGAGACAGGAATAACTAACAGGGCTATCTAAAAGTATACTGGGTTCACTTGGGAAAGTACTCAGTTCCCTATCAGTGGAGGTGTTCAAGCAGAGGTTAGCTTGTCTGGGAGGTTGTAATGGAGATTTCTGTTGAGGTTAAGAGGTAAACTGTGGTTGATGAAGTCCTAGACCATGATTCTGTGATTCAGTTTTGATGGTGAATGTTATTCTCTGCTCTGTTAGTCTTAGATTTTTGGCTTCATGATAAGATATCTTTCCTAATGATCCTATATCTTTCTTACTGGTGGTTTAGGACTTTTCTTTTTTTGGGGGTGGGGTGGGTGCATGTTATTGAATGTGAATACATGAAATTTTTTTTCTTCAGCATGCACTCAGACTATCAGCTTTTGGTCAGATTTACAAAGTGCTGGAGATGGATCCTCTCCCATCTAATAAACCTTTCCAGAAATATTCCTGGTCTGTTACTGACAAAGAAGGTGCGTAATAATTATTTGTTTGGGGGAAGAAGGGGTGTGGAATGAGTTTTCAATACTTGGGCCTGAGGGATCTTCCAGAATTAACATTCTCTATTCTAAATTCTGTTGAACTCTTAATATTTTATATTCTAAGAGATAGGAGTAATAGAGTGCTGAATTTTGAATACCAACTTTGACATTTATTACCTTATGTGACCTTGGATATTGTAAATCTGACCAGTTCACCTTTCCGGGACTCAGTTTCTTCTATTAAAATCAGGGGAGTTGAATAGATAATCTTATAAGATTCTTTCAAGCTTTAAATCTATCTTGCTTCGATCTTTTCTGCTAGTGAAATTTAACTGCTTATCAAAGGCACTTGGAAAAAAATGAAAAGACGTCCCTTTCTTTGAATCCCTACCCATGGCCTCATCTTGACTCTGTGTGTGTGTGTGTGTGTGTGTGTGTGTGTTTTGAGAATTGGGGTTAAGTGACTTGCCCAGAGTCACATAGCTAGGGAGTGTTATGTGTCTGAGGCTGGATTTGAACTCAGGTCATCCTGACTCCAGGGCCGGTGTTCTATCCACTGTGCCACCTAGCTGTCCCTCTCATCTTGGCATTCTTAAAAAGGAAGCTTGGTGTTCAGGGAAGAGAATTTAATTATAAGTCAGGAGACCTCGGCTCACATCGTGACTTTCCTTAAGAAAGTCACTAGACCTCTCTGGCCCTCTGTCCTCGTAGTTGGATTACATGATCTCTAAGGTTCCTTCTGTTTTTAACAGAAATGAATTTCTAAGATAGAGAACTATTTTCCATGGTACCTAGCACGGGATTTGTTACAGTATGCCTTAAATAAGTAATTGCCAGAATGAATTAGTAATTTTACACTTAATTTTACATGGTATACTTAACCAGTTTTCCAGAAATATGGGAAGACATACTCTTAAGAATGAAAAACCTTCCTGTATTTCCTTAGCTATGGAAGAGATGATGGATACATACTTACCCAGTGAGTTTACTTGCCTTGGACAAACTTTGGGTCACTAGCATTTAATTTGCCAGCACTGTAAATCCAACTGAGGAGAGTAGTATTTGTAAGATCTTCCTCAACCAGCGTCTCTGATATGTCAGGTTCCAGATTGAATCTGTATCATTTGGTGGTGGAATCCATGGGTCCAAAACACACTGTTATTTAGTTAATTTAACAAACATTTAGTTGAATTGAATTAGCCATTATGTGTTTTAATTTCAGTTTTCTAATCAGGAAAATGGTAGGGCTGGATTAGATAATTAATCTCTAAGGTCACTTCTAGCTATAACTTATAAAACCCTCTCCAACTCTAATATGTTAATATTCTATGTTCTCAGGTCATTAAAGTCGAACTCTGATGATGTAATAAAACAGTAATAAAAAAACTCTTGGTTTTAATGCTTTAAGATTTACAAAGCGCTTTCCTTACAACCATCCTGGGAGGAATCTGTTGTAAGTGGGTCTTCTGATTTTATAATTGAGGAAAGAGTACATTGGAGGGCTTAAGTAAGTTATCTAGGATCACATTGATAGTATCAAAGCAGAGGCTTAAACCCAGTGCTCTTTTAATATACAGTATGTTCTTTCTGTGGGATTAAAAAAAATCTCCTCCCCCCCATTTTTATGAAGATTCTCAGTAGAAGGATATTTGGTAAACTCATTAGTGGAGTCTTTCTTAATTCTCTTTTTAATATATGGTCTAAATAAGTTTGATGTGAACATTATATCCTGGGGACAGGAAACTGGTATGTGAGTAGTAATTGCCTAATTTTTGTAGCCCTTTATTGTTTAAAAAGCAGATTCCTGCAATTTATAATGGTATGAATTATAATTTCATTTTACTACAGCTTACTTTAATGATTATACTTGAGTTTTCCAGTGAATCTAAGGGTTAGACAAAGTACTTAGAATATGAAACCAAATCCCCCACTTCTTGATAAACCAAGCATTTATAATATCCACTCTGTGCTAGGCACTGTGCTGGGTTCTGGGCAATACAGATACAAAACTTAGATAGTCAGTACCCTCAAGGAGCTTAAATTATAGTAGAGGATGCTGCATGAGATGAAGAAACAGGCTTGGAGAGGCTCATGACTGGAACCCAGATATTCTTAACTTGTACTTGTGCTTATTCAACTACATTATGTTGCTACTATCTAATTGCATAAAAACCAAATCTGTATTTTTGAAGAGAATCACTTCTATATTTTAAAAATAATTTTATTTAAAATGTCTTCTTACCCATTCTTGAAAAGAAGCAGAATAAGTATAGGACAGGAATGGGAATCTGTGGCCTTCTAGGTCCTTGGGTGTAGCCTTTTGACTGAGTCCAAGTCTTACAAAACAAATCCTTTTATTAAGGGGATTTGTTCTGTGAAGTTTGGATTCAGTCAGAGGGGCTGCACTTGAGGACCTAGAAGGCCATATGTGACCTTGAGGCTGCAGGTTCCCCACCCCTGGTATAGAGGATAATGCTTGGGCAAAACACTTCTTTTCTATAGGCATTTTTTTCTTCCTCTGTAAAATGAAGTAGTAAAGTCTCCTTTGTGCTCTGAAGTTTATGGTTTCCTTGGATGATTTGTTCACAGCAGAGAAAGTTGTGTCCATTGGCACATCATTTACATAGTTGAACAGCATGCTTATTTAGTTTTAAGACAACCTGTGAATTCTAGGCAGGCTGGAGGAAGCAACTTTTGATATATTTTAATGAACTAGAATGTGATTGGAACAGACCTTGTTTCCTCTTTTCTCCAAGTCTTCAGTCTCCAAGCCTAGCACACTCATCATTTTATGTATTGTATTTGATTTGCATTACAAAGCATATATTACTTTCTCTTGGAATCAGGATTGTCCTGAGTGGGAAGTATTGACTAATAGAGTAACTGAAGTCAGTGTTTCCTCCAAGAGACAGTAAATCTTGGTGATTACAGAATATGGAGTTAATCTCTATATTGTTGCAATCTTTTGTGAAATACGTCTGCAAATCTTTCTATTGTGGTATCAGTTTATTGAGCACTGAAGAATAGTGTGCAGAGGCAAGAGCTCTGGGCTGGAAGCCAGCACACCGAGGTTCTCCTGACTTTTTACTATCTGAACTTTGGCAAATCACTTAAACTCTTTGGCCTTGATTTTTTTCTTTTTAATATGATTAGGTTGCATTGCATAGTCTCTAAGGCCCTCTTACAACCTATCTAGCTGAGATGGTTCTGTAAGTCTCTCCCTTCTGCACGCCTCACCTCCTTGGCACTACATTAACAGAAAGATTTGAATTAGAATTGTTCAGCTTCTGAATCATGAAACTTGTTGAAGTTACCTTTGAACTTGTAGTGTAAGTGATATAGAGCACTTGAGCAATCAGAAGACATGCATTAAAATCTTGGTTTTGCTAGTTTTCTATGATCCAAACCTAAAATGAGACTCCCACCCTCTTCTAAACATAATATAACTGTATAAAATGGCAATTGTAGGGTGATACGGATGTTGTTTATAATTGACATCAGTTTATTAAATCTGAAGGTTTTATAAAATTCACATCTGTATACAAATTGAAGGTCTTATAAAGGAGATTTGGGGAATAGGATATAGTAATGGTTGTAATGTGTGACCTTCTCTTAGGCAAGATCACTTCACATCTCTGGCTTCAGTTATTTTATCTTTAAGATAAAAGTATAGACTCCTATGTCCTGTGTCTGTTCTTCATTACTCTGAAATTCATGGTTCTTGCCTGTAAAATGGGGATATTAATACTTGAACTGTCTACTGCTAAAGCATTGTTGTCAGGAGTAATAGTTTATATTAAGTGCAAATGTAGGCTGCTATTTTTCCTATAAAAATACAGTTTTTGACCTAATTTGATCCTGGGTAATAGTTTCCTCCTGTTACCCAACAGATTTTATTGAGTACCTACTATATGCTCAACTTAGTGCTACGCATTAAAAGGAGACATGACTTCTGCTTTTCAAAGAGCTTCCAATTGCTTTGGAGAAATATAATATAGTGTTGTTACTATTCTGATTGAATAGAATGACATATGACTGCATAAAATAAATACCCAAAATATGTAATATTGAGAGTAAGAGCTATTAAAAAAAGTAGCTAGGGAAGATTCCCTGGAGCAAGTGGTCCGTGAAATATGTGTTGAAAGGGAAATTTTTTTGTTAAGCAGAGACAAGGAAGGAAGAAGGGATACAGTGGACTGCTTGTAAACAGTTCTGTTATTTAAAAGCACAGACCCAGTTCATAGACTTTCTTAGAGCTTGGATGGACAATACAGATGAGGACACTAAAAGAAATAGTTATTTCCCAAAGGTGAAGGTAGTGGCAAGACATTTACCTATTTGTGCTACACTTCAGTATATGTAATTACAGTTTTATTTTTAAATCAAATGGCACAAATATGAGCAGATAAATAATATTTGCCATAAGAAATTATGTTAAGGCTAAGAGGTTGTAAAGTTGCACTTTTAGAATATCAGTCTTATTTGAAAGAGAAGAGAGAGAAGCAGCTAGATGTGGTGGAAAGTATATTGGAATTGGGCATTAGCAAAGATAGTTCGAGTTTTGACTTCAGCAGTTGGTACTTTTTTGAATTTGACTAAGTCTCTTCACCTAAGCCTCATTTTTTTTTTCATCTATAAAATGAGACTAACAGTACCTTTCACTACCATTTTCATGGGATTGTTGGGATGACAGTGTTTTATATATTATTTAGGGTGACAGCAATGTGATGATAATTTTGCAATTATTCTATTTTTGACTAACAAATCCATTACACTATTTTCTCAGGTGCTGGTTCCTCATCTCTGAAGAGACCTTTTGAAGATGGATTAGATGATAAAGATCCCAATAAAAAGATGAAGCGAAACTTAAGGAAGAGTATGTATAGATTGTATTCCTCATCTTTCTTCAGTTAAAATAGATGTGATCTGGGAAAGATTCCTAGTATGAAATAGAACAGATTCAAAGATGAATGTTGGAATTTTGAGAATATTGAAAGGAAAATTTTGTGTTTTGGCTAAGAGGTGAATGATACTGATGTTTAATATAGTGACTGTCTCTTGAGTGTCTGATATAATTTCTTAAGTTCATTGTACTGTTCATTAGCAATAGTGCAGTATTTTTCAAGGTTAAGTTGATAGTTTTAAAAGTAGAATTAACTCTTTAAAAGTAGATTAACTCTTATACTAAAATCATCTGCCCATGATTTCATCATGCTGTGAAGGTGAATCTTCACAAAAATTATGCCTGTGATTCGGCAGCTCCTAATATGATGAACAGGCTTTGAGTCAGGCCTGTAGACCAACTGTTTGTCTTATCTAAGGATCAGCTTAGAAAAGCATAGAGGATTTTCACAAGAAAGTTGACCACTGGGTGAAAAAATTTTTTTTGAACCATAGATTTTCATGAAGACCATTTAGTAATTTGCGGTTTATGTCAATGGAAGGAATAACCCACTACAGTATAATGACAGTTCCTTAAAGTTCAAGTGAGGATAGTGAGAAAACCTTCTCTGTCAAAGCTCTGCTCTGATGCTTCATTGTGGTATGGAGATGACTCAGGGTTCGAGATAGGCTATTTCAGCCAGCTGCATGCTTTGGCAAGTCCTATAGAAGGGGTTATCTTAACGGACTGAGGCCAGCCTTGCTAAGGGCAGGAAGGCTTTTCACCTTTTGAGCACTTGTGTATCACCTCATGATGGTTTTTTGTTTTGTTTTTTTTCCCCAGTCACAGCTGCTGATGGAGCTGTTGACTTAGTTGTGGAGGGACTGTGATGTCTAATAATGGAAGAGGTACCTGCACCAGTGTAGAGCCAAATCTCAAGTTTTGAATTAACCAATCAACATACATTGTGTTGCGTTTCTTGTGTACCTGGCATTATGCTCTGTGCTGAGGATACAGAGACTAAAAAACATGATCTTTGACTGGAACGGGCTTGCAGTCTATTGAAAGAAATAGTTTGTAGATCTCTAAATAAACTGAAAATGTATACATAATGAATACAAACTTTTTTTTTTTGAGGAGGTGGCACTTAAAAAAACCCCACCTCAAATAGGAAGTGCCACTTGAGCTGAGCTGTGAAGAAGCTTAGAATTTCCATGAAGTAGAATATGAGAGGTGAAAGCAAATTGTTGACCAGCTTTGTGGCGTGCTTATCCCATCTTTTAAACTTGGTGCTGCTTTTTTGGAGCAAGGGTTATTTATTTATCTCTAATGATAATAAAGCTTTTCTCATTCTTTTTTCTTCTTATTCCTCATCCTCTTATAGTTCTGGACAGTAAAGCAATAGATCTAATGAATGCCCTTATGAGGCTCAACCAGATCAGGCCTGGTCTCCAGTATAAACTCTTATCCCAGTCTGGCCCTGTTCATGCGCCAGTCTTCACAATGTCTGTAGATGTGGATGGCACAACATATGAAGCATCAGGACCATCTAAGAAAACCGCAAAACTTCATGTAGCAGTGAAGGTAAATTCATTGAGCTTATTTATATATTCTCAAAACTTTTCCCCCCTAAATTTACATTCTCTCATATGTGAGCACATTCATGAGAAATCACTTAGGAGGAGCCAAGATGGCGGAGTACGAGGTGAGTCTCTCTTGCCCTCCCCTATTAGCCCCTGAAATACCAGAAAATATCACCCCAGGAAAAACCCTGGAACAGCTGAACCAAAAGAAAGATGGGGTGCAGCAGTCTAGTAGCCTAGGTAGCTTGAGGAATTAATTGGAAAGGCCCCTTTTACCTTAGGGGAGGGGAGCAGTACAGAACGGGAGGCATCCCAGCATGCTAGTGGAAAGCCGTATCTCAGCATACCAGGAAGAGATCCTGAAGCCCGGGTGGTGGAGCGGGCAAGCACTGGTGCCTGGACCTCTGAGTGCCTCATTGAGGGTGGGGGAGCTGGTGGAGGCCAGCTCAGAGAACCACCAGGTGCCTCGGCATTCTACAGCAACCGGCTCTCCCAGTGCCTCAGTGAGACTAAGGGAAGCTGCGCTCCAGGGTGCCCCACATGGGTGAACACCCTGCATCCTTCTGGGGGGAGCTGAAGAGGGCAAAAGGAAGGAAAGGCCTGGGAAAGCAGGAAATCTCCAGCAGCCACACTACCCAATCCTACCCCTGGAGTTCCAGTGTTGCTGGTTCTGGCCTGACACCAGGTGGGCTGCCGGAGTCCTGCAGCCTCTGACTGCCAACATTGGATGCCCTAGCACATGGAGCCAGTGACCAGGCCCTGGGCTCCCGGTGTGGGAAGCTTGGGTCAGTGCCCTCTGCTCCCTAGCGGGAGAACCCGGTCTCTTTGAAGGCTGGGAAACGGGCAGGCACCGTGAACAGAGGGAAATGTATGGTAGATTCTTATTGTGAGAAGACTGAGGATCAGGGCAGAGATTCTGAAGAGGACAACATTGTTGGTGGACCCACATCTGGAACCTCAAAGGGGAGTGTGAACTGGTCTGAAGCCCAGGAGGCCTTCTTGGGGGAGCTCAGGAAGGATTTTAGGGGTCGAGTGAGAGAGAGAAGAAAAAATGGGAAAAGAAATGAGAGGTATGCAAGAGAGAGTCAATAGCTTGGAAAAGGAAGGACAAAAATTAACTGTAGAAAACAAATCCTTAAAAAATACAATTGGCCAACTGGAAAAAAGGTACACTGAAGAAAACAAGTTCCTAAAAAATAGAATTGGCCAAATTGGGGAAGGAGGTACAGGATCTAATCGAAGAAAATAATTTATTAAAAATTAGAGTTGAGCAAGTGGAAGCTAATGATTCTATGAGAGAGTGGGAATCAGTTAAACAAAAACAAAAGAATGAAAAGGTGGATGGGGACGTGAAATGCCTCATTGGTAGAACAACTAACCTGGAAAATAGATCCAGGAGAGACAATTTAAAAATTATTGGTGTACCTGAAAGTCATGATGAGGGAAGGACCCTAGACAGTGTCTTTCAGCAAATCATGAAGGAGGACTGCCCTGGGGTCCTAGAACCAGAGGGTAGAATAGCAATAGAAAGAATCCACCGATCACCTCCTGAAAGAGGTCCCAAATTGAAAACACCAAGGAATATAGTAGCAAAGTTCCAAAATTGCCAGGTCAGGGAGAAGATGCTGCAAGCAGCCAGAGAGAAACAATGTAAATGTCGTGGAAGCACAGTTGGGATTACACAGGACCTTGCAGCTTCTACATTAAAAGACCATGGGGCATGGAATATGATATTCCGTAGGGCAAAGGAGTTTGGATTGCAGCCAGGAATCAACTACCCAGCGAAGGTGAGCATGATCTTTCAGAGGAGGAGATGGATGTTCAATGAGGTAGGGAACTACCATACCTTCTTGGTGTAAGGACCAGAGCTCAACAAAGAGTTTGATCTTCAAATATAGGATTTAGGAGAGACATAGAAGGGTGAATGGGACAGAAGGATACAATGTGTTGTTGGTGGGGGCGGGCTGTTTGCATCCTTACAAAGGGAAGATGGGGCTTGTTAACTCTTGAGAACTGTATTGTTATTGTACCATGTTGGAGGGGTATACATAGAGGGGGTGGGTATGGATTGACTTTGATGTAGTGATGAAAAGGATCTAGTTGAGTGGGTTGAATAGATCCAAGTGAGTGACTTAATCTGGTCTACCTGGGAATATGTGCTGAAAGAAGGGGAAAGGAGGCAGACAGGTGAATTGCATCACAGGAAAGGGCACAGGGACCTATTGCAGCAGAGGGAAAGAGGAGAGGGAGATAAGCTTTGGGCCTTGCTCTCATTGGATTTGGCTTAGGAAGGGAGTAACATAATAGGTTGGGTGAGGAGGTCTAGCATGCCCTGTGGGCAGTGAGGGGGGTGGGAAAGGGGAGGGGGGTTAGTGGAGGGAGGGTGGGACTGGGGGAGGTGGTGGTCAGGGGCAGGGCATTGGTGGGGAGGGAAGGGGAGAGGAGAGAGGGAGGGGCGTGGACAGAGAGGAAAAGGGATGGTGAGAAAGACAGATAGTAATCATAATTGTGAATGTGATATATGAATGCAATGGAATACTATTGTACTATAAGAAATGATGAACAGGCAGACTTCAGATAAACCTGGAAAGACTTGTATGGTTTGATGCTGAGTGAAGTGAGCAGAACCAGGAGAATGTTGTACACGGTAACAGCCACATTGAGTGATGACTGACTTTGATAGACTTAACTTCTCAGCAATACAAAGATCTAAGACATCTCCAAAAGCCTCATGAGGAAAATGCTACCCACATCCAGAGAAAGAACTATGGAGTTTGAATGCAGATCAAAACATACTATTTGCTGTTTTTTCTTCTGTATTCTGATGGTTCCTCCTATTAGTTCTAATTCTTACTTACAATATCACTAATGTGAAAATATGTTTAATAGGAATGTATATGTATAGCCTATATTAGATTGTGCGCCATCTTGGGGAGGGAGGGGGAGAAAAATTTAAAACTCAAAAGCTTATGGAAGTGATTGTTGATAAATTAAAATAAATGAATAAAAAAATTTTTTAAAAATAAAAATCAGCTGTTTATGTATATGTAGTCTCATGTAGAATCTAATAATTAAAAACTTGAATATATAGAATAGGGACTATAGAAACAACTTTAGAATTGCATTTCAGTTACTGTCTGAACTTCATTTCTCTAGCTTGTAATTTCCAGTTGTAGATGTCCCTCCTTATCAGTAATTACAGTATAACACTGGTTAACCTAATTTTTTTTTTTTTACTGAACTAAATGTTATATAGATAAAGATAAAAATTGAACTTGGAACTAACCATGCTCTGGTGTTTTATGTTTTCTTTCATCCATATACTTAGGTCTCTGGTAGTTCAATTTAAAGTGTATTAAAATTTTAACTATTTTGCATTTTTTTTTTATTCTTGTAGGTTTTGCAAGCAATGGGCTATCCAACAGGCTTTGATGCAGATATTGAATGTATGAGCTCCGATGAAAAGTCAGATAATGAAGGCAAAAATGAAACGGTGTCTTCAAACTCAAGCAATAATACTGGGAATTCTACAACCGAAACCTCCAGTACCTTAGAGGTATAGTTGTTTTTTATTGAAAACATGGAATGTGACAAGGTTTGTCAATAACATCTACAGAGGGTCCATGAAAAGCTTTGTGCTTACTGTCAATTGGGAACATTTACAGTATTTGAGTAATGAGATTGGCAAAGGGCAGTTTGGGTCAGTGCTAAGAGGCAGAGAGATAGAGACAGATAGGAGAGGTAGCATGGTATAGTGGAAAAAGAATGATGACGGATTTGAAATCAGGAGAATTTGATACAAATTCTGATATTGACATTCACAGACTGAGTGACCATGGGTAAGATGTTTTACTAATGGTCCCATTTCCTCATCAGTAAATTGAGGATTGTACTTATACTATCCACTTTATAGCACCATTGTCAGGAAAGTACTTTGTAGAATTTATTATTACTGTTTATCACCATTACCATTGTTGTAGGCTTGTTGAATGAAAAAAGCACTGCCTAAACTTTAGATTTAGAGCTTTGAATTTGCCCCACCTGCAGCGTGCCTACTCTCTGAATGTTTGATGGGGTTCCAATAGGTGGATTGAATATTAGTGAGAGAGTTGGCATTACGTAAGAGACTAAACTGGGAATCAATAGACCTGGGTTGGAATCTGACTTCCTACAACTTATTAGCTATGACCTTGGGTGTATCCCCAAACTTGAGTTTCCTTATCTATAATGTGGAAAGAATAAATTTGCAGGATGTTCTATAGATCAAATGAAATATATAGAAAGTAGTTTTTAATTGAAAATACTGTGTAACTTTCTGCCTTTATCATGTGAGATGGAATGGGAATTTCACTCTATTCCCTCAGAAGACATCCCTCATTGAACTTAAGGCATTTGGAAAACTTGGTTTCAATATGTGATAAAGAAAGAAGTTTGTATTGTCTTTGCTTTGACTGAATATTTATTTGTTATCAACAACATAGTCACAGTCTTACTGGATTTTTGAAACATGTGCTGTGCTCTTTTAGGCATTCTGGATACAAAAGAAGTGTAAAGTATGGTACCTTCCTATGAGAAAATTAGCATCTATCTGGGGAGTTGCCAAAAGAATGGGAAGGTTTAGTGACAAGTGTTTTATCCTGAAATACTGAAATTACTATACAAACAATTACAAAACCAGATGAGTATTGCAAGATGCTGACTGTGGTATATGAGAAGGGGAGACCAGTATGGACGTTGATAATATGAACAATATATATGAGGATACATTTATTAGGTTTTAGATACAATGTAGCTTTTTTGGGGGGGGTGAGGAAATTGGGGTTAAATGACTTAAGCAGGATCACCCAGCTAGTAAATGTTTGTTCTGAGGCCGGATTTGAACTCAGGTCCTCCCGACTCCAGGGCTGGTGCCACTTAGCTGCCTCACAATGTAGCTTTAAGTAAAGAGTAATTTATGAAAGAAATATCTATGAAATACAACATTGTAGCCATAAAAAGGCAAGGGTTCGCTCTTGCCCCCCCCAATGAAACAAAACAAAGCACAAAGAAGTAACATCACCATTGAAACTTGGCACATTTTTGAAAAGTAGTCTTAGACTTGATTGGTAGACAAGGTAATAGTTAATCAATTGATATTTTGCTTCAATAGATCTTGTTGATATGGCTATTTTTTCTGCACAGATAGCCCCAGGAATGCTTCCTAGTCTGTGAGTAGTGGACCACTGGAGGTCTGTGGAGTTTTGAAAGGGATTCATGAATCTGTATGTGTACCAAGCATTGCTCTTTTCATCACCTTGTATAATAACTGTTGCTATATGAGGATCTGTGAAAGTTTGACCTTAATAAAGAAATTGTCATACTCCTTAAAAGTTTCAGTAGTTGCTGTGATTATAAAACATTCAGTGACCTTGGTAGAAGTTGTCAGAATTTGTGCTCCACTGTGACACAACCTTCAGGAAGCTAAGGTCATAACTTCCCCACATGGAGTTATGAGAGCAGAACTTGATTGAGTGAAAGCAATAATAAAAACCTAATTTTTCAAGTTATTTTTGGTCAATTTTTAAAAATTGAGATTTTGGAAATGTGGTTGAACTTAAAATGTTGAAATTGGACTTCTTGTACTCTTCCCCAGACTAGGATAAGCATAAACCATTTAATAAGCACAGGCTGGCTAAGTAAGAGACCCTTGCTTTTTTGGGGGGGCAGGGTGCTAGATTGGAGACCTTTACTCCCAGCTAGATTGGTTGGTTTTGAGGTCTAGAAAATAAGGATAGTAATAGTTGTCATTTATTATCTGTAGATCATGGCAAGTTGTGTATTAGTGTCAGTTAATTCATTTGTAAAATGGAATGTCTTCGCTCCCTATGTAGGCCTGTTGAGAGGAAAAGTCCTTGTTAATGCTATAGATTTGGAAACTTTTATTAATGATGTACAATGTTTCCTCTAGCACTTGACCATTTTATATGCCTTTCTTTAAAGCTGTAGTTATGCCTTCCGAGGTTGTAGATATTGATCAATAGTCTCACCAGATTGGAGTAATAGTCATACATTATTCAACCACAGCAACTTATGAAGACTGTTGACTAAAGCATGAAAGGATGTTATAAGGAAAAGGGAGGATGGACACTGATAAAATCTTAGATCCTTAGAAAATAAAAAAGTTTTCTGATGTTTATACAGTGCTTTTACCACAATAATACTGTGAAGTGTGGTAGTGCAAGTTGTTATCTCCATTTTCCAGATAAGGAAACTGAGCTAATTAGTAATTATAGCTCCAATTTCTGCTCATCCTTTTGGTTTACAGACTGTATTCTAATCTTATGCGGTCAGTCGTGCAGAGATTATTATTTCATTTTTATAGGTGATCAAATTGAGCCTCAGAAAGGAAAGTGACTTGCCTGTATTTAAAGGGAGAGTAAATTTTGGAGTTGTATTTAAACCCAGGTCTCTTGACTCCAAGTCTAGTGTAGTCTTTCTACTCTACCATACTTGCCTCAATAGGAATGTGACCGTGGACAAGTCTTCTTGCTCACCATTAAGAATATTTTTATTTCTCCATTGTAACTTACTTCCTTTTCCATTTCTGCCCTTAGTCTTGCTTTGCAGTGTAGAAACCATGTGGACCTAGGTTGGTTTATTAAGAGTATTTTGTCTGCTAAGTCTGTTTCTTCATCAGTGTGATGGGTATAACAGTATTTGCATTTACAGTACAGTTTTGATTTCTAGCAATTAAATCATGCATTTCAGTTTTAAGTTTTCCCAGAATAAGTAACTTTCTTAATTAGGGAGTCCAGATTTCTGGAATTTTATATGATGTGATATTTCCCCAAGTTAATGTTTCCTTTTGTTTTCTCAGGTAAGAACTCAGGGCCCCATCCTTACAGCAAGTGGTAAGAACCCTGTCATGGAGCTCAATGAGAAAAGAAGAGGTCTTAAATATGAACTCATCTCTGAAACGGGTGGAAGCCATGATAAACGATTTGTTATGGAGGTGCGTTTTTTAATAAGGACTGTGAGCCAATCTTTGAGTCATTTCAAAGGGATTCTCTGCCTGGAAATTTGTGGCTTTAAGTTTCCTGAATAAAACACTATTCAGGGCAAAAGAGGTGATAGTACCATTTTCTTCTGCCTTTCTTCTATTATATTTGGAGCATTGTGCCTGGTTCTCGGCAATACAGTTTAAGAAGTGCATCAGAAGTCTACAGTGTGTCTGTTTGGCATACTGTGGGCAAAACTAGGACTAGTGGGTGGAAGTTATAAGAGGCAGATTTTGGTCTAGTATAAGATAAAAACTTCTAATTAGTGTCCAAAAGTAGAATGGTATGCCTTGGAAGGTAGTGAGCTCCCCATCACTGAGTTTTTTAAGTAAAGGCTGAATTACTACCTTTAAAAAGCTTCTAATTCCTTTAAGTCCCTTTTTAACTCTGATATTCTGTCTGGACAAAGATGAGTAGGATGGTGAGAAGGAATATGAAAGGAACTGTGAATGTTTTGCCTAGAGCACTTTTAGGAAAAACCTTATTTCTTCTTTTATGTAGCTGAAGCACTTCCGTGGGGAAGAAGGACTAGATTGATTCTTCTTTGCTCTAGAGGGCAGAAGTAGGAACATTGAAGAGAAGTTGCAGAAAGGCAGAGTTTGGCTAGATATACAGAAAGAATTTTTTACATCATATCTCCCCAAAAGTAGAATAGGCTGCTTCAGGCTATATGTAGTTTTCTTCCATCACAAGTCTTCAGACTGAAGCTGGCCAACCGTTTGTCTTCGGTGTTATAGAGAGCATTTCTGGTGTCTATGAGGTTTTCTGATTCTTTCTCTTATTTTGTTGTTTTTAAATATGTTTCATGCTTGATTCTTCTTTATGTCAAAGTTACCATTACCACTGGAGCTGAAAAGGCTGTGGGTGAAAGTAAGAAATGCTTTCCTTTAATCCTTTGTTACAAAGAGAAAAGGATAAAGGGAGGAGGGAAGATTGGTCACATAGCTGCTCTTGACATTTATAGAAATCAGATGAAAAAAAAAATACAGGACTCTCTCACCCAACTGAGAATAACATTTTGGGGACACCTTTTAACTTATGTTCCTTGTGGAGTCTGTTTTTTGTACACTTAGATAATTTCTTGTCCTGGTATTGGGGAGAAGGGGCAGAATTTCCTCCCAAATTTAGTGTGGTTCTGTTTAAATACCTTAGTGAACTAAATAAAATATGGCAGCTTTAGTGGGTAAAAGTGCAACTTTTTATTTCAGGTAGAAGTAGATGGACAGAAATTCCGTGGTGCAGGTCCAAATAAGAAGGTAGCAAAAGCCAGTGCAGCACTAGCTGCCCTGGAGAAGCTATTTTCTGGACCCAATGCAGCAAATAATAAGAAAAAGAAGATTATTCCTCAGGTATGGTTTATTGTCTTAAATTTTAATTTGCCAAATTTTGCTGAGTTTCAGTTTAGGGGCCAGTCCTTGTGCTACTCACTGACTTTGTCAATTATTTTTTTTAGGAGATTTTAAAATTTTCTTGTATGGGGCCCCATTCCACTACACAAATCAACCTCTTCATAACTTAGAAGACTTTTTTTTTTTTTTTGGTGATGTGCCCTGATGAGCAACTCCTGATGGCAAGTGTCTTTTCTTAGCTAGGTTGGTCCTCAGTAGTATATCACATAATCTGTCCCCATTCTCTGTTTGAAGACTTTTTCGACTTGCTGTAGTCTACCAGAGTTTGTACATCTATGCTGTGGTAAAGCATTTGAAATGATTGGAGTGGAGGTTTTGCAAAATACCCCTGGAGTTTGTAAGAGGGAGTTCATTGTGCATTTCTTTATCTGTGTGGTATTGCATACTTTTTCACCATAGTAGGATGGCAAATTCAGCACACCTACTTCAGTTCCTGTTATGACCAAATCCCAGTGGTAAATTTAGTAGAAGAGAGACATTCTTCATTCCCAAGGAATAAGTTAATGGTCTACTTGGAAAAAAGATAATAACTCACATATACCAAGTATACATTATTGGTTGGGATTTGAGGAAGAGCTTAAGCAATAATGATAAGGAAGGCTTTGTGGAATTGGTCCGTGGGTTGAGCTTGAAGGATGAGGAAGATTTTAGTAGTTTGGAGAGCTGGGAAGGACAGGTTAATTCTAGGTGTGTGGGAAAGGGTGTGCAGAGGAATAAAGTTTGGAAAGGGCAGGGTGACTTTAGGGAAAGGTAAGTAGTCTAGCTAGAGCATTTGAGTGTGAAATACAGTGAGAGAAGATGACATTCTGCCTGACAAAATCCTCCTTATTTGTGCCATTTCCTTTTGTCCTTTCTACGCCCAATTAGATTAGGGCATTTTGGTATCATTTTTCATTTTTGTATCCTCATTCCTAAGCACACTACCCTGCACCTAGTTGTTGTTAAACAAATGTTTGAAATAAGTTGTTGAGTAAGACTATAAAGGTGATTTGGAACCAAATTTGTGGAGGGCCTTTGAATATCAAGCTAAGGAGCCTTGAACTTTATTTACTAAGAACTAGAGGAAAATTCAAGGTATCTGAGCCAAGGGTTCATGATTAGAGCTTGTGAAAATTACTTTGTCAGTAGAACATAGTGTAGTTGGAGTGGAAAAAAGCCAAAGGGATGGGGAAGGGTGAGACACTTCTGAAAAAACTGAAAACATAGTGTCTTCATATATTTTTCCATGACATCTTTTTCTTAGGTCACCAACTTCACAATTTGGGGACAAACATAGTAATTTCTGATATTTAAATTATGATTGGGCATGAAGAACTTGTTAAGTCATTTTGTTTAGACAGGAATTGCCAAACATGACATTGTCTTATTTTACTTTCAGCTCTATTTCCTATCTCCCTTCCTCCCCTCTAAGATGGATTTTGCTAAGGAATTGTGTAGCTTGACCTTCTGCTGTCCTATGTAAATGTTAGTAATAATAATAGCTATTATACTTAAAGGCTTGCAAAGTTTTTATCTTACAGTATTTCAGTAAGGTCATGTTATCACCATTTTATAGAAACTATGGCTCTGAGAGGGGAAGTCACTTGCCTAAGAGTCACACAACTTGTTACTTTTAGAGCTTGGATTTAAATTTAGGTCTCCTAAAGACAGAGGACCTTAAAATCATTTTTAGTGACTGGTTTCAAAATCCTAAAGGCTTCCCTGGGCTTCATTTTTATGCTGGTATATTTTTCCAAATACATATTGAGGTAACCTGGTAATGGGTCAGCTTCTGATGAATTGTCTAGTTCTTTTCTTTTGTGTATAGCATATTATGGTAGAACTCATAAATTAATTTATTAGTTTTAACTACCAGACTCACTGTATAAGTGAAGCAATAAAAACTGTAGCATTGTTTGAACTCCATAGGATTATTAGCTTTATTTTAATACTTCAAAGATCCATATTGGTTTGGATGCCACCTTTACTGACATAGATCATAACCCTTTCTACACCTTAGTTAGACATTTTCATTAGTTACTGTGTCCAGCTTTCTGATGATGAGCTTTTGTACTTATCTCAGCTTGTCTTTGGATGATAGGCATAATGTCTGCTGACAGTGGGCTTATACACATGGAGGTGACCTTGAGTTCTTGAAGCTTATGCCAATGGAATGTAAACTCTAGCACTTCTTAAATTTGAAGGACTTTGAATCCAAGGACTTGTCTAGCCAATGATGGAAAAGTTCATCACCAGAACATTGGTGACAATGAGTTTAAAAATAAAAAAAAAAAGGATTATTATCTTACTGTGAAATAGAAATATTGAGATTTGTGTCAGTGGGAAGAATATACTTATGAAACTGTGGGTCTTTAAAGAATCTCAGCGTGTGTATAATATATGCATTAAAGAGGTAAGACAATGACATTTCCAATTTCTATAAGTAATGAACAGTGTGTCATTGGTAACAGGCCAAGGGTGTAGTAAATACAGCTGTGTCGGCAGCTGTCCAGGCAGCTCGGGGGAGAGGAAGAGGAACCCTTGCAAGAGGAGCTTTTGTTGGCGCTGCAGCTGCCCCTGGTTACATAGCTCCAGGTAGGACACCATATTTGGGGTAGGGTGGGGATAAACATTTATTATGTGCCAGGCACGGTGCTAACAAATGCTTTACAAATATCATTTCATTTGATCCTTGCTATGGTCCTCATTTTAGGTGAGGGAAGAGAGGTTAAATTAACTTGCCCAGAGGCCAAATTTGAACTCAGGTCCTCCTCATTCCAGGCTTAGCTGCCTACAAAAGGTGTGACTTCTTTTCTCAACTGAACTTTGAAAACTAACCCTCCAACTCCCCCCCCCCCCCCAATATCTTTGGGATATTTAAAACAAAAACTTCCATTTCTCTAGCACTTCATGGTTTACAAATCACATTTTTTTTTACACTAACCCCATTTGACAGATGAGGAAACTGAATGAGTGATGAAGAGATTAGTCCAGGGCCACAAGCAGAAGACCTGAGTTTGCGCTCACATTCTGAGTGCACTACATTGTGCTGCCTGCAGACACACAAAAGAAGAAGACACTTGGGCCATAGTCCACAAACTTCCTCTTCCTTCTTTTCATCTCAGAACTCAATCTCCACTCTCCTCCTTTTGCCTAGGCTCCAGTAATGAGATGACATTCATTTCCTTCCTCCCCTCCCTCCTCCTCTTGCAGTTCCCATTTCCTCCCTCCCCGTCCCCCTCCTCTCGCTCTTCCCTTTTCCTCTCTTCCTTCTTCAGACCTCTCAGTACTTAATGGTTCCTCCCTTACTGCCTTCAAACATTCTCAGATTTCCCCTCTTCCTTTAAAAACCTATACTAGACCCTATCAACCCCTCATTCTGTGTCCTCCTCATAAAAGCTGGCTGTACTTGTTGTCTTCACTTCTCTCCTACACCCACTCCTTAACCTTTCATATTCTGGCATCTAATCTCATCACTCAACTGAAATTACTCTCTTCTAAGTTATCAGTGATCACTAAGTTATCAAATACCAAATTTGATAGTTTTTTCTCAGTTATCATCTTTCTTGACCTAACTGTATTCTGCAATTGAAGCTGTTGCCTCCCTTCTTCTCTTGAATACTCTTCTCTGGGTTTTCACCATGGTGTTTTACTCTCTCTGGTTCTCTTCCCATCTCTTCCCCCCCCCCCCCCCTTTCTTTTTTAGACCACATCTCGTGTTTCTGTATTGGATTTTTTTTACATCATGACCCCTAAGGCTCTCTTATTGGTCCTTCTTTCTCTATACTCTTGGTGACTTCATCAGTTCCCTTTGGATTAATAATCATCTCTATGTGGATGACTCGGAGATCTGTGTATCTAGCCCCAAATGTCTTCCCCTGAGCTTCTGTCCTGCCTCAGTAATTGCCTATTGGTCGCTTCTAACTATGTCCTGGAGACATCTCAAAGTCACCATGTCCAAAATATCATTTTCTTTCTCTCAAATCCCACTCTTCTTAACAGTTTACTTATTTCTGTCAAAGGTATCACTATTCTTCTAGTCTCCCAGGTTCATAACTTCAGCATTATGATCAATGTACTTTCCTTTATCTCACATATCCCATCAAATACCAGGTTGTGCCATTTCTATATCCCTCCCCTACTTAGAGCCTTTCCTTGTCACCTTTCACCTAAATTATTGCAGTGATCACCTAATTAGTTCTGCTGCTTTAGTTTCTCCTTACTCCAGTCTTTCCTCCACACTGCAACCAAAAGGATTTTCCTAAAACCCAGGCCTGATCACATCATGTTTCCTGCTCGTTCAATTCCACTGCCTCCCTATTACTCCTAGGATCAAATATAAACTCCATTGTTTAGTTTTTAATGCCTTTTATAGCCTGGTGGCCCCACAAACTGTCCAGCTTCATTGGACACTACTACTCCTGCAGTCTATGATGCAACCACACTGGTCTTCTTTGTCTTCCTCACACATACCATTCCATTTCCCATCACCATACCTTTGCACTGGCTTTCCCCCACACTTGGAATACTCTCTCTTTATTCCTGCTTCATCTCATTCCTCTCTTCCTTCTACACGCCTTCTACACGAAGCCTTTCCTGAATCCCCTCAGCTGCTAGTGCCCTCACTCTCAAACTATCTTGTATTTAGCTGTGTTGTATTTTATGTTTATTCTGCTTATACTTTTCTGTGTACTTATTTCCTTGATTAGACTGTGCATTCCTTGAGAATAGGGACTGTTTCATTCTTTGTATTTGTATCCCCAGCACATACCTCGTACCACAGTGCCATTCACATAGCTGGCAATCAATAAATGCTTATTGAGTGATATAAATGTGTATAAATTGATTAACATAAAATCACTCTAACATATGTACTTTTTTGAAAAAGTTCTCTAATGGGGTATTTAGAGGAACTAGAGTGAGGTGAGATTAAATGTGAGAAAATTTCATGTTCTGAGCATTGTTTTTATTGCTTATTAGAGACATGTTCTTGCATATATTGGGGGGCCAGGGTTTGCACTGAATGATATTGTAAGTCCATTACAGCTCTGAAGTTCTCTGATTTTGTTTTTCCTTTTGAAATCTGCTTTCCTACATATTCTTAGTTCTGCTCTACAGTACAGCCCTCCAGATCCTTGAAGACAGTAATCATCTCCTTCTGTTTGTCCTCCAGTATTTTGTCCAGTTCTTTGAATTGATGATTATAATATTTAGTCTTCTCTAACTCTTTAAGGTTTCTAAAGTGCTTTACTAACAACCTCGTGAAGTAAGTACTACATAAACAGTTGCTGATATTGTTGCTTCCTGTTTTACATATGAGGAAACTGATACTCAGATTATAACTTGCCCAGGGTCCACCTTCCAGTAAGTACTAGAAATGGGATTTGAACCCAGGTCTCCTAACTCCAAGTTCATTGCTGTTTCCATTATCAACTTTCAGAGGGCTATATAAATGTTAGCCTTTGTTACCAATATGTATATAGTATGGTTACCAGACCCCTTACTATCCTAGTTGCTCTCCTTTCCAGAAGTTTTAGCTTGTCAGTGTCATTCTTAAAATTGTAGCAACTGCATCTGGACATAATATTTCACATGTGATCTAACCTAGAGCAGGGGACATAAGTATATATTCTTTCTCTTCTTGAAAGTCTCTTTCCATTTATGCAGCCTTATCCAGCCATTATCTTTGAGGGACTATTATTTTTCATTGTTAGATAACTGTTGGAGCTCACATTTCCTCCTAAAAAGGAGCTGACAGCATTTTTTGAGGGGAAAGACATACAGCCTGAGTTTATCTTCATCTGTAAAATGAGTGGTTGGATTAGATGGCCTTAAAGGTACCTTCCAGTTCTAGATCTTTGATTTTATAAAGCTAATACTTACCAAGGAAATGACTTTAGCTCAGATCTTAGTCTCCCAAGTCCTTAGAAAAGTTTTCACCGTGTTTTCTTATAGCTCAGTTCTTCCTACTGATCTTTTTTTTGTTTTTTTTTAAAGAGCTACATTATGGGAAGCTGGCATACTTTGAATATTATCTTCATTGACTGGTTATCTTCATTGACTGGTTATCTTCATTGACTGGCATGCTGATGTAATTGAAAATAATTATATATTAATTGATATGTAATGTATTTGCCTGAAGAGTTGATACTTCTAGAGCTAGGCTTTCTCTTGTTAACATTGTTTTGCTTTTTTTGACATATGCTTACCATTCATGTTCACTGTGGGCCTATGGTGAAGAGATGTTCCTTCTGATAATAAATTTACATAGCACTTTTTGGTTACAAATCAATCTAACATATGATTAATTTGATTTCTACAACTACCTTGTTCAACTATCTACCTTATTATTATTATTACTGATATTTTATAGATGAAGAACCTTTTCCCTCAACATTGAAGTGCATTTCCCAAGGTCAAAAAGTAGAGCCATGATTCAAATTCAGGTCTACTGCATCTTTAAGTCCATTGTTTCCTTTTCCCACTAAACCGTGGTGCTTTCCCCTATTATAATATTAGGAAATAAAATGACTTAACACAAAGGCCTTGGATACATGACTGTGATGTGGAGGCGAATTCTGTGATTTGAGGTGAGGAGATCTGAGTTAGTGCCAGTCATTGATGTGACCTTGGGAAAGTCATTTCATCTTCTGTTTAATACCTGTGTGATTCTTGGATAAATTGATTCGTCTCTCAACCTCACTTTCTCCATCTGTAAAAATGAGAAGATTGTATTAAGTGATCTTCCAAGTTCCTCTTTTTCAATCGACTAATCCTTTCTGATATTAAGTTTTATCATCTATAATTCAGGAATAATAACACCATGGCCAACTTCTCAGGGTCACATGGGAGATAGATGTGAATGACCTTTGTTACCACAAAGTATGTTATAAATATCAGCTACAGTTATTATTATTTTTCCTTTCCCTAGATTTAAATTCATCGAGTAATTCATTTTTAGTTTGCTTGTGTCCATGTTAGCTGTCGTCTGTCACAGATGCTTTCAAGTGAATATTGGTTTTCTTTAAGGCCCTAAAAGTTTGCAGACTGAAATTAGTTCTACTATTAATATTGCTGATCATTCACTTAATAAGAGAGCTTAGCATGGTGAAAGGAGTCCTGTACCTGGAGTAAGAAGACATGGAATATAATCCAGTTCTGTCACAGATTGTATACATTTTGGACCATTAGTACTCTAAGGGACTTTGCAGGGTTAGAGGGAGAACAGCATAGTGGAAGGGAAACTTGAATTTGAGCTGTAAAACTGTAAGACAGAAATTCATTTCTGCTCCTTTGGGCAGATAATTAAATCCTTCTGCACTTCAGGTTCTTTATGTATAAAATGACAAGGTTGGACTGGACTATATGATCCTTTTTTTTAAAAAAATAGTTAATTTTTAGTTTTCAACATTCACTTTCATAAGATATTGAGTTTTAAATTTTCTCCCCTCCCTCTCTTTCCCCCTCCCCACAATGGCATGCAATCTGATATAGGCTCTACTTAGACATTCATATTAAACATATTTTCACATTAGTAACGATTGAAAGAAGAATTAGAAATAATGGGAGGAACCACAAGAAAGAAGAAACAAAACAAAACAACAAAAGAAAAGGAGAGCAAATAGTATACTTCCATCTGCATTCAGATGCCTCTAAGTTTTCTCTCTGGAGGTGGATAGCATTTTCCATAGTGAGTCTTTTGGAGTTGTCTTAGATTCTTGTATTGCTGAGAAGAGCTAAGTCTGTCAAAGTCAGTCATTGCACAATGTGGCTGTTACTGTGTACAATGTTCTCTTGATTCTGCTCATTTCATTCTGCATCAGTCCATACAAATCTTTCCAGGTTTTTCTGAATTCCACCTGCTCATCATTTCTTATAGCACAGTAGTATTCCATTACATTCATATCCCACAAATTGTTCAGCCATTTCCCTATTGATGGACATCCCCTCAATTTTCAATTCTTTGCCACAACTGAAAGAGCTGCTATATATTTTTGTACATGTGGGTCCTTTTCCCATTTTTATGATCTCTTTGGGTTACAGACCTTGAAGTGGTATTGCTGGGTCAAAGGGTATGCACAGTTTTATACCTCTTTGGGCATAGTTCCAAATTGCTTTCCAGTGGACTGTATGATCTTTAAGGTCCCTTCTGATTCTAAATCTTATTGTGTAGTCCAACCCAGTCATTTTTATAGGTGAAGAAGCTGAAATTTAGAGGTGGAATATGATTGTTGTGACCTTAGAGAGTTAATAAATGGCAGGGCCAGTTAGGACTCATACTAGGGTCTCCTGACTCTAGGTCCAAAACTTGTTTTACTTATTGTTTACCAGTCCTGTGCCTGTGGGCAAATCACTTCGGTTCTCTGACTCTTAATTTCCTCAACTGCTGAAATGGGTGTGATAATCATTGCTCTTTCTCCATCCTAGGTGTATGGTCAAGCAATTAGTTTGTAACATATAGAGAGTTATAGGAGTGAGAGTCATTACTATACATATATTTTTCTGAGATCCCTTCTGACTCTGATATGTTTTAAACATACTTCCACCTTTAAGGATCGTTGCACCTCTAATGTTCTGTGTTTTAGTGGGCATGCTTAGCCCATTTTTATGAGTGTTTAGTGCAGGTGTTGGTTTTAATTTTTCAAGCCTTGATCTCTTATCTCATTGTTTGCTCTAGGTTACGGCACACCCTATGGCTATAGCACAGCTGCTCCAGCCTATGGTATGTACAACCTCTTACTGACCTCTGCCATTCCTGACTCTATCCCAGCAGTCCAAACTCCAGTTTGATTTCAGGGTTCGTATCAATTAACTAGAGGGACCCTAAGAAACTCAATTAGTATGGTGACCACACTAAAATTCACTTTGAACAATGCCATAACCTTGTGGTTCTTGGTTTGGTTGGAGTAGCTTCCTTCCTTTGTTGCTTTTCCTGGTTGTTGAAGGACTGCTTGTCTAACTGCCTGTTTTCTGACCATATTGAATTTGACTATTTTAACAAGTTCTCCTTACAGCCAAGTTACGCTCTATTCAAAGACAACCTAAGGGCCATGAACATTATCTGATGCAGGGTTGAATTCTGGGGATGTGCAAATTGTATAGGCTACTCTCAATTGTAGGTAACACTAATTAGCTGTAACACTAAACCTCACTGATAAAGAGTTAGGGATGTGTAGTAAATACCAAATAGCAAAAGTATCCATCCCTTCCCTTCCACATGTGTTGCTTTGGGAATTCATTGCTCCCAGAGTATAAACTGGGAGTTAAATCCTATTATAGATTAAAGGACTAGAGAATAGAGTGGCGGTATAGTGTAATGGAAGTCATTCTGTCTTGGGAGCCAGGACACACAGATTTTAAATCTGGCTCTAACTAAATCATCTTCTGACACTGGGCAAGTCAGTTTTTACTTTCTGGGCTTCAGTTTCCTCATCTGTCAAATGAGGCAATTGAATTCAATGATTTTTAAGATCCTTTCTAACTCTCTATAATCCCACTGACTGGCTGTTCTAAAGAGAACGTGACAGTTCTAGGGAAGATTTCAGTTGGCTGGATGGAATCTTCTATCACCAGTGTGTGAATAGTAGAAAGACTCCAATAGCCAATCATGGGTTTGTCCCACCTGGCTCTGTTGGTAACTTTGAATGAGGTTTATGTGGTAATGGAGGCAGAACATTTTGGAGTCAGTAATATGGTCACACATACTTGCCCTGACTTGGGCTCCGTGTTTTTGGAATTACTTGTTTGAAAGGGAGGGGTGTGTGTGTGTGTGTGTGCGTGTGTGTGCGTGCGTGCATGTGCGTGCGTGCGTGCGCGCGCGCGCGCGCG